GGCCACAGGGTACCTGGTTCCCTGTTTGGGCTTCATTAAACATGATCGTGCTTATTCCTTTTTGGGTTGCAAGTGGTCACAGGTCCCTGAAGGTGTAGAAGTTTCAGGGCTTGGGTAAAGGGGGTGATCGTTTTCGGGACGTGGGGTTTTGGTAGGGTTTTAGGGTTTAGGATTTTAGGATTTAGGGTTTAAGGTTTAGGGCTTACGTGTGGGGTTTGGGAAAAACGCATTAACTAATGACATGAGGGCACTACCCGGGAAGCTAGATCAATCACATCACGAAGACAGCCGACAAGCACGTCATCCAAACTGCCGTCAAGTTCCAAAGACCGTAGACGTAGACGGCCAAAACCCTACGACCCGAAGCACTACGGACCCGAAACCCTGAGGTCTATAGATGAAGATACTTAGATTGCTCTACACTGCTTTTCTGACTCTGATCGTTCTCCTACTCCTGCTCGCAGGTGGGCAGACAATGACTCAACTTGAGAAACCACAGCCCAAACAAGCCACAAACTAGACAACTATCAAAGATCCGCGGAGTTACATTGTCCTTCATTCTGCTTCCCATCTTCCGTTTAACCACAACGAGGATTGTTCCAGGCAGGGTGCCGGTTTAAGGCTTAGGGCTTTGCGGAAGATCCCTAAACCCCGAAACCCCCAAAACCCTCAACCCCTAAACCCAAAAGCTCATCCCCTAAACCCCTAAACCCAAGACCCCAAACTCAAAATTCCTGAAAACCCTCATCCCCTTAACCCCTAAAACCCCAAGGCCCCAAAACCCTCATCAGTCTTTTCTGGCTTGGCCGGACGGTGGAAGGACGGTCGAGTGAGACGGCACGTCGAGGTTGTCCATAGCCACTGTCTCGAGTTCTGGACGTTGTGGCTTCCTTATTAGTAATATTGTCGTTATTATCGCTACTATTCTCATAATCAACCTGATACCATTCTTGCTATTATCATTCTTAGTTTGAGTAGTAGTGTTATTATGGTGATTATTATCCCAAAAATCTCAAGGCTTAGGATGCTGTGGCTTTGGGTTCAAGTTTCCTGAACATCGACAAGGGCCGGGGTCCCAGGCTTGGGCATGTCGCCCAAACCAAAGATAAGGGCTTAGGGTTTCGGGTTTGGGTTTTAGGGTTTAGGGTTTAGGGTTTGGGTTTTAGGGTTTAGGGTTTGAGTTTTAGGGTTTAGGGCTCAGGGTTTGAGTTTTAGGGTCTAGGGTTTAGGGTTTGGGTTTTGAGGGTTTAGGGTTAAGGGTTGTATAGCATCGTCTATGATATTAAGATAAACTCCCCACTTCAAGTTGCCACGTCGGTCGGAGAGCGACCTCCGCCGTGTACGGTTGCCTCACAGTTCTCGCCCCCCCAGACCTTGGCTTAAGTCTAGGGTTTAGGGTTTAGGATCCTGAAGTGTAGGGTTTAGGATCCGAAAGTTTAGAGTTTAGGATTTAAGATCTTAAGCGTTAGAGTTTAGGATCCTAGGACTTTCTTTTAAAAAAATTGGTTTAGGGTTTACTTTTTGCTTTAGGGTGTAGGGTTTATCTTTTGCTTTAGGGTGTAGGGTTTAGTGTCAGAGTTGAGTCTTGGCCTTGAGGCCCTGTTAGGTTGGCTTCAAGGCTCCAGGATGGAGGTGGGCTCTTGTTAGGGGATTTGATTTAAGTTGCTATAATAAGGAAACCATATTATTTGATATAGATCCCTATTCTACTAACGTAAACTAAACCCTTCAACAAGAACCCAGGGAAGTGGGCCCTGTGGTACCCGACGAAACGCTGGGGTGTCTTCATATTCTTGTGCTTACCTATAGGGTTCAGGTTTTGGGGGTTTAGGGTTAAGGGTTTCCTTAAACCTATAAAAACTTATAGTCTAATTCCAACCCCTAAAAGCGAAACCCTAGGCAGGGCTGGTTCAGGCCGAAAGCCTCTTATAAACCCCTCAACCCCTAAACTCTAAACCCCTGAACCCTAAACCCCTAAACCCTAAACCCCTAAACCCTAAACCCTAAACCCTAAACCCCTAACTCCTAAACCCCTAACCCCTAAACCCCTAACCCCTAAACCCCTAAGCCCTAAACCCTAAACCCCTAAACCCTAAACCCCTAAACCCTAAAAGGCCGAAAGCCTCAGTGAGCCAAGAAACGATGGCTGAGCCATTCGAGCGGAGGGCGGCGAAAACGGAATCAGAGCCTCGGCTCTACAAAGGAGCCTTTGGGTTTAGGGATTTAGGGGTTTTTAGGGTGTTTAGGGGTTCGGGTTTAGGGTTTAGAGTTTAGGGGTTTAGGGGTTTAGGGGCTTCTCCAGCTGGGCTTAACTAAGTTAAGGGTGGAGGGTTTACGTTCAGGGCTTTTCTATGCGGAGCCATAGGTCGATTTGCTCGTGGTTAATGATTTCTTGGTGTTTACGGATAGTCAACTATCCCGAGGACGATCACCCTGAGACGAACGTGTACCCATAGGCCCCTAAGTAGTTCCTTTTTGGGATTACCTTATAGGATTCCAAATATAAACCACAAAAAGGAACTACTTAGGGGCCTATGGGTAGTTACTGTTTTGTAGGGTTTGGGCCTCTTGCTTCAATAAGATCCCGGGCTTTGCCGCTAAGGGCTTTGTTGTTGTCGAATTGGAGGTTCAAGATCAAGGCAACTTAGGAGGCTTAGGGTTTAGGGTTTAGGTTCGGGACAAGGGGTTTAGAGGGTCTGCCACAACTTGGGGATTGGAGCTTGTGAGCTTGTGAAGTAGCAAAGAGCATACCCTCAACCCTGTATGAAACCCTAGGCCCTGCGGTCGATTCATTCCACTGTTGGGCTCTTTGGGGCACAAGGCTGAAGGAGTTGAGTTGGGGTTCGCACGATGTATGCCACAGCCTTCAAGGCTTTCGGGCAAACGGCATGGGAGCGAAAGCTGTAGGGACTTGCCTCCAGCCGAACCGTGTCGAAAGCACGGCCTTTGCATTTTGGGTTTAGGGCCTAGGGGTTTTGGGTTTGAGGGTCAGGACCTCAAAATGCGGGTAGCGAGAGATTGAAAAGATAGAGCCCAAGTTTTGGATACACCAACCCGGAACCCTTATGCTGAAGTTTATACCACGGCAGATCATCCCAAACGCCCGAAAGCCTAAACACTGAACCGCAATATCCAGAAAAAACCCTGACCTGTACACGTAGGCCTCAAAACACAGAACAGATTTCCATGAGAGTTCTACCCTACCCATGGCTTTCACAAGCTTCTTCTATACGTGCTTGAAAAAGCTTCCAGCCTTATCAAGCCGGATTGCAGTGTTATTGGGAAGAAGGCTGCATAAGGTCCAGAAGGCGCGCGTACGAGTAGCAATCTGGTAGCGCACTCTTTGGAATGCGCAAGATGGGGTTTAGGGTTCAGGGATTGGAATGCGCAAAATGCCCTCAGACTACAAGAACATGGGAAGGCCCTGAACAAAAACTTGGCTGCTGACGCCGCAAAACCCAAATCCTGCAAACAACAAAGGAGTCGTTCTTGAAAAGCCTAGCCGCCCAGTAGTTCCACAACATCAACCAGCTCGTCCAGAATCTTCGAGCAATCTCCTGGTCTGCTGAAACAAACGGGGGCTTGAAGAACAAATCTTCAACACGTTAAACTCCTAACCCCAGAGCCCTGTGAACCCTACAGTCGAAAGCCCTAAGTGTTCAGGTGCAGGCTTGAGGGTTGCAGTCAAAGGGAAGGTTGCGGGATGCCGCCGGTGAGGCCTATGACTTCCACCGTGGAGCATGGGGGCTGTCAGGGTTTCGCAAGGGCAAACCGGTAAATTAGACAGGGGATACTTTGCTAATTAGCATCAACTCTACAGAACCAGACCCCAGGCCAAAGCCAGAAGCAACCTCCCAAAGCCCTAAACCCTAGTAGTACAGTATAATGATAGTATATTATAGTATCTTATCGTATCTTACGTATGGTATCGTATATACTATAGTAGATTATGCATCCCAAAAAAGTTGGTGCCCTCAACAGCCTCAACTGCAATCTGAAATTCATCAGGCCTGGCTATTGTAGGGGCCTTCATAATTAGAATAGGGTTGTGGAGGCTCCTTATTATAGTTATTATAGTATAATATACCTCCAAACCCTATTCTAGTTACTAAGGCCGCTATTGCTCCTTGTCGGGCTTGGGAACGGGGACGGTGGGTGGTTTTACGGTTTGGGATATTGAGATTCAATTCTCGGAGTTCAGCGTATGGTCTGTAAGATTAGGGTTTGGGGAATGGGTCTTGCATGCCCTTGCCACTGTTACCAACCCCTAACTAATGGTATTTGGGCCCAGAAGCCAACATGAGTCCTTAGAAAGCGATGCAGGCGAATCCCAGTTACAGGCCGTAGACTCCAAACAAACATGGATGTGTGAAGTCAGCAACTCCTTGAAGCCTGAAAAGATTGTGTAGACCCCAACAGCCTCAATTCATCCTATCCCAAATCCTGAAACCCTATATGCTTTTTGTACCGTGTAGACTCCTTCGAAAACACAAAATCCTAAATCCGAAATTCTTGCGTTTCCTACAATTTCGGATCTTTACGCCACCTAAGGAAACCCTACAGGTTTCCATTCAACCCCAAATCACCGACAGCCCAAGAATGAACTAGGAACATACGGAAAATCCATCGACAAGGCCTCATAATCTGAGAGACTCTGAGAACCAATTACCAGCACTGAATAAGGCGAAGTGAATTCTTCGGGAAGTCCTACGTCCGAAGCCCCAGGCTTCGATTTCTGAAGCCGAAAGAAATTCTAAACCCAAGATCTTTCCCAAAGCAAAGGTTCCTAGAGGTCAAAAACCTTCCCCAAAGCCGTCACACGGGAAACCTTAGGATCCCACACCTTCAAGCCTACCCCAAGCCCGAAACTTGGCCATGTATTAGCCTGTATAATCTCTGACATTGTAGAACCTGTTAAGCTAAAGAACCCCAAACCATAAACCCTGTACAAGCCCGGAAGAGAAACCGAAATCCTTAAACCCCACAGCAGGCCAGGTATCCGCCACAGCTTGGATCTCCCCAAGAGACGACGGAGCCCTCGGCGGTCACTGCAGCGAAGGCCGCATGCGAAGCAACCAGAGCGCGGATGTGGCGGAGCTCTGACCTGGGAGTCGAAGGGGGGTGCAAGGGCTCTTTCCAGGGCATAGAGTTTGGGGTTCCTTTACGGGATTCGGCTTTTAGGGTTCCTTTACGGACTATATAGGGTTTACGGTTCATGTAGGGGAGTTTGATGTAAGGGTTCTTTTCAGGCTTAGGGTTTAGGGTTCCTGCACGGGTGTTTGATATGCGTACTTTTCACTGTGGGAATGCAAGCACCCGAGTTAAAGGAAACTACAGGTGGGGAGTTCAGGGTATATAGGGCTTCCTTTTGGCTTCTATAAGGTATATAGACCTTCTATAAGGATCCTATAACGGCAACTACCCACCTGAAAATGTCCTAGACCCGAGTCGCCTGCGCAAGCGCTCGCACGACGTGGCCGGCCTGGAACTAGTTCAAACTACCCAAAGGCCCCTAAGTAGCTCCTTTCTGTGGTTTATTTTTGGAATCCGAGAAGGCAATCCCAAAAAGGAGCTACTTAGGGGCCTATGGGTAATTTGCGGCCACACTTCTCGGCAAATTTCGCTAAGCCTGATATCCACACCAAGAAGTCCGCCCAGCCAATGCTCGGCGACTTCTTCAGGGGGACCCGGTTTGACTTCTATCCAAGGATCGTGCCTAACAGTTCGGCATTTGGATGTAAGACAATGGTATTACGGTATTGAATATTGTAGGTTAGTTGGTCTTCAGTGCTATGGACTTTAGGTTTGGGACTTTGGGGTTTGGGAGTCCAGGATTTCGGGGGTACGTAGGGACAAAACGAAGTTGTCTTTGTGTGTGTGTGTGTGCGCGTCTCTGTGAGACCTCCTCTCAGTTTTTGCCTGAGGGCTCAGCACCTAAACCCCCAAAACGCTAAACCAAAACGCCCAAAGCCCTAAACCCAAAACCCAAAGCCCCCCAAAACCCTAAACCCTAAACCCACTTCGAAGGCCAAGGCACGGTTTAGCTTTGGGGTGGGAGGGGCTCGGCAGACTAGGGGTTCTTGGCCTTTGTGAACTGCGTTTAGGGCTTAGGGTGTAGGTATAGGGTTTAAGGTTTAGGGTTTACGATTTAGGGTTTAGGTTTAGGGTTCAGGGTTGTGTTTAGGAAGCCGTAATAATACTACGAAAAATCATATCTAGGCCCATTTAGCTAATGCATACCAAAGCTGCTGCACCGATGTGCTGTCCGCCCCAAATGCGCTGTCGCCCCAAGTGATCACTGAGCCGTCCTTCGCCAACACTTCATTTCCACTGACAGCATTCCAGGCTTCCAGGCTTGGGGTCATAACCCTAACATCCAAGCCTCAAGCCCTGCAGCCCTACAACCCAAACCAACCGTAGCCACAGGCCGCATCACGAAAGTAGAACTCATCGCATGGGTACCCCTGTCTTTAAGGAGCCCTTCCCCCAAACCTGACGAGGTGCCCAGGACTTAGGATTGCTTAAAGATGCAGCGGCTCACCCGTAGACATAGCAGTCGCTGACCCTCAACCCCAAATCTTCACTCCTGCAAACTTCTACCTGCAGGGTCATACCCTTCCCCCCTATTTTTACGGTACTTAGTTGTATGGCTAGGATCTGCTATACAGAAAAGTAGGTACGCCCCAAAAAATGAGCCTACGGGTAGTGTCTAAACTCCAGAACGAGTACACCAACCTACATCCCCGGCCAACGTAGAGCCAAGACCTACACTCTTAACCTCACGCTCGAACCTCCACCCGGAGAGTGAACCCCAATCTCACACCTTTACGCAATCAGGCCCCCAAGGAGTGCCTATTGCGGATTTGGGACACTATGGGACATAGTTCCATCATGGTAGTATCTATGGACACGCTCCCGAGACCCCAAACCCCAAAAAACCCTCAGACTTGAATGAAGCCCTTCAGACCCCCAACATCCCTTAACTAAGGAATGTATGCGCTAAATCATATTAGGATCCCTTTGAAATTAACAAAGATAAATGTAAATATAAATATAAATAAATGCATATACACATACACATACACATACACATACATATACATATACATATACATATGCACATACATACATTCATACATACATACTTGTAGAAAAATGTATATATATATATATATTTATCTTTATGTCTACCAGTACATTCCTCAAGCAAAAGGATGCGTTTGGAAGGTCCGGGCCCTTCAGGCCTCCATTAAAGCGGCGTACGCACCAAAGTTGGCCACCAGCTCCGTCACCCGCAGCAAAGGAGAAGGTGGTTCCAGGGAACCTGAAAGTGGTTTAGGGCTTTGAGGGCTTAGGGCTTATAGGGTTTAGGTTTTTTTTTTGCTTTTTAAAATGTTTCTAGGGTTTAAGGTTTAGGACTTCAGTTTTTTTTCTTAGGGTTTTGGGTTTTGGGTTATTAAGGTTTATATGGCTTAGGGTTTAGGGTATAGGGCTTGTAAGGCTGTAAGGCTTATCGGGCGTACAAGACTTGCAATCTTTATGGCTTTGCTTTTGAGGGTTTTTCGGGTTTTAGAAGCCTCTCTGTTGCCAACGAGCCACATATGTTTTCAGGTCCAGCCCTTTTACTTCGGCTTTGGTATTTTTGGGCTTTGGCTGGTCATCCAATGCCCGCCCGAATGCTGACCCTGTCCTACCATTCTACCATACTCTTCCAAGTGTATGGACGAAGGCCAATATACAGCAGCCTGAAGAATTCATTCGAAAAGGGTTTTGTGTTACATTCGAACGTACGTATAGACTATAACAAACCAGTCTTACGGATTGTTCAGGTCCCTACAGTGCCTAAACCCTAAACCCCTATACTAAACCCTAGACCTAAACCCTAAACTTTAAACCCCTACACCCCTAAACCCTAAACCCCTAAACCCTGAGATTCACGCAAAACATGGGACCCTAGAATCTGGACATGATCTCCGAGTAGTCCAAACAACCATAGAGCCCAAAGCGATGACCCGGATCCCCAGCAGCCTAAGACTAAAAAGGGCCTTCTTTTTTGGTATATGGTCGCTCGTTTAAGACTACGGAAAAAAGGGTCCACTGGGAGACCTCCTAGATGACCATTTACAAGTCTATTCTGTAAGAGGAAAACTTGGACTATAGGAGACTTAAGATGATGATTGCAAGAACGGTCCTTCATAGACAGGTATTGAGTTATCTGGGTACTCAATCCACGCATTTAGGAAATCTGGACATGAGGGCTTACCCTCACCCTCAATAAAAAAACAGCGAAACTCACCCGCAAAACCACAAACACAGTCTGCACTGGAGGCTGTGCTGGCCGGGCAGTATCTAGGCCCCCCGGGCAACCTAGGAATAACATGGCGCCCATTTTCGTATTGGGCAGTTTTATACATAAGGTATCTGAGATCACCAAATAAAAGAAAAAGGGGTCCACTGGGAGACCTAGCTATAGCATTCGCGCAACTCCGACTTTGTGTCGGCGAGGCTGGGCTTCGAGGATTGGCATCGCTCTAAACTTCGGAAGCAAAGCTGCGGCTTTTAGGGTTTAGGGTTGTCCAGGTCTTTGGGAAAGGACCTTGATGTCCTTGCATGTAAACCCGCAGCCCGAAAGCCCTCAACCACAAAGCCTAAACCCTCAAACCCCAAAACCCGGTAGAAGCACAGGCTTTAGGGTTTTGGGATTAGGGGCTTAGGGTTCAGGGTTCAGGAGTTTAGGGCTCTCTACAACACTAAAAGTCCCTAAAGTGTCCAAAGCTCAGGCAGGATGCTGCCATCATCTTGGAAAACCGAGAGCCGACCCCAAGGTATCACGGAGCCGTCTTCTAAGATCGCCGCGAAGTTGGCTTCCTTGGCTTGTTCCGGATTTATAGGGCCTAGGGTTTGAGTGTTTTTAGGATCTAAGAAAATTGGGGGCCCGGGTTTTTTGCTTAGGATTTAGGGCTTGGAGGTTTAGGGATTTGGGTTCGGGTGTCAGGTTGAGGGACTGAGGCTGCCAGGGTTTTCGGGGGCTTAGGTTTGAGGGGTTGTGCACCGATCTATTTATGTAAATCCTTGAACCATCTTGGTGTAGGGTTTGGGTCTGTAGGACTGTAGGGGTTCTTGGGACGGCAGAACCGTTTTGGCTTTGCAACCGAAACCCGATGGCAAACTTAGCTGACGTGGACAGTGGGCAGATTCACCATCGTGCCATTTGCAGACCCCTACATGCTAGTTTATCATCGCCAGCATCTTCATCGAACAAAAGTGGCCCCAGCTTTTAAACAAGGACAGATTGGAATGATGACACACCGCAACCTTGAGCAGCAAGCCTAACCCCATGCAATTTGTTCTACGAGCTGCAAGCTCTGAATCTTCATCCCTAAATCGACACCCTAAACCCTATGAGTCGAATGTTAAGCTCGGAGTCCTCATTCGCAAATACAGCGTTGAGATCGTCGCTGGCCTAGACTACCAAGGGGCCTGAAATGATTGGGACGGGGTCCTGAACCCTAAACCCCTCAAACCCTAAAACCCTAAAACTCTAAAACCCCAAACCCAAAACCCTAAACCCCAAACCCTAAATTCCAAACCCCCAAACCCTCAACCCCCAAACCGCTTTAGCCGCACCGACGCAAAAAAAAGGCTGGGAAGCTTTGAAGTCTCCCTCCACTCCCAAGTCCCTAGCTGAGCTTTTCGCGGCTTTAGGGATTTAGGGTTTAGGGTTTTGAGCTTTAGGGTTTTAGGGTTTTAGGGTTTAGGGTTTTCGGGTTTTGAGCTTTGGGGTTTTAGGGTTTAGGGTCTTATGGTTTTAGGGTTTAGGGTTTTAGGGTTTAGGGCTTTAGGGCTTTAGGAGTTTAGGGTTTAGGGCATCCAAGGTTCTGTGGATTTGATGTCCTGCACATTGCGCAGCTGTGACTGCACTTGGTGAGAATCGCCTGCAAGCGCATGTGTTGCTTTTTTCGGAAACGGACATATAGGGATAAGCCCAAACCTTTCAGTTTCTGAGACTTGCAGGTATCGTGACGTGAGGATGCTGCATGGTTCAAGCCAAACCAATCACAGTGCCCAACAACCATGAAGCTCCAGGAAGGATTAGCAAATGCACAAGCTGCGCTCACTCAGATCGCAGTAAACATAATCGTGAGCCTGATCGTCGTAAACGTATTCATGAGTCAGTACTTTTCTCGCTGACTACATTCAGTCAGACGAGTTGGCATACATCCAATGGCGAGCACGACTGACAACCATGATTTTAAACCTTAAACCCTAAGCCAAAAACCTTTAAACCTTAAGCCCTAAACCTCAAACCCGAAACCTAAAACCCTAAGCCTGAAACTCCTAACGGTCCTAAACCTTAAACCCCCGACCTTAAAGACCTAAACCTTCAACCCTGAACTGATATGTATTTTTGGGTCATTGTCTAACTCGACTCTAGAAAGCCACAAGGCACACCCTCGGACACCACACAACAAGGAAACACCGAACCCCGATCTAGGCTTTACGGTTTGGGGTACCCCCGCCACTAGAATTTAGGGCTTCTTTCTCCCTCCTGGCCATGTTTTTTGTTTTAAGTGTACAGGCTTTCTCTATGGAATACACAGATTGCAAGGGTCAGACAGCCCCATGCATCCGAAATCCCTTGAATCAAGAAGACTTCTTATCAGAACCTTAATTTCTGAACCTCCAAGGCAGCGAATCAGAAAATCTTAGCTCACGCATATTGCAGTTTCTGGTGCCTTTGGAACCAGAAAGTACGATATAGCGTGCTCATTGAACCTTCCGTTCCTCCAGCGTTTGGGTGCTCTTGTTCGGGTAATCATTCGACGGTTCAAGCTCATGTGTGGAGCTGTGGAGTTGGCATACCTTTTTGTGCGAGTCCTTATGAGGATGTCGGGTCATCTCAAACTTCCCCCGCCTCCGCGGCGAGGTTGTCCCCAGGTCACAACGGAGCCGTCCTTTTCGCAGCAGACTCTCACGATGCCTCATCGGGGATTCATGGGAACTCTTAAATGGTCCTTGTAGCCTTATACTGTACTCATGACTGTTCAAAGATTTACCAGTGGACGGCTTAGGATTTACATTGGGTTTAAAGTTTAGGGTTTGAGCCCTGTTGGCGTGTTGAATCGAGTTCGGCATGGGACGGGGCAAGCCACACTGCTCCATCCTGCGGCACGACAACTGGAGAGCCGTCCTCACGCAGTCCCGCGAATGCATCGCCGGCGGAGTAGAGGCGGCGCACGGCATAGAGCTCCCTGCGAACCTCGAAGTCTACCGGGGAGGGCGGGGGGGGGTCGGGTAAGTTGTAGGGCTTAGGGCACTTCGTGTTCAGCGGTTGGCGCTAAGGGATTGGATTGCAAAGCAGAATCCAGGTTTCACGGCATTGCAAAGTCCAAAGCTGGTTTGAATTTTGTACCAAGCTTCGCGGAGTATAAGGGTTCGGAATGGTTAAGAGATTGTTAATCACTTCCCTTATTTATTAACACCCCCTAATAATAGAAACACATTGGACCCAATCCTCCCGAATTCACCCTTGCGCTTTAAAACCTATTTTGAATTGGGGGGGTTAGGATAAAGGTTGAGGGTTTAGGGTGAGCCTCCCTGGTTCACCTCTGTCGGTCTTTTCTCAGCTGCGACGGCCTATCCGCAGCTCGGTCTGTGAGCGTGGCTGTCCGAAGCCTGCCCCACACCTTCATAATCTGCAAGCCTGACTGCCTGTCTGCCTGAAAAGACTAGGTCAGGCTTTAAGGTTTGAGTGTTTGCGACACTGTGAGTTTACTCTGACTGTGAGTGTGTGTGTGTGTGTGTTTGTGTGTGTGTGTGTGAGCGCACAGGCCCTCTCTGTTGGAATAGAATAGAGTATAGAAAACAGCTCAAGCCATCCATAATCCATGCTTCACTTTTTCGGGATTACCGGCGTGGGTCTTCAATATGGCAGGGCCTTGAGAAACAGGGCACCAGCATACTGAGATTTTACAGCCAGTTGTCACTTTACTTTGTTGAATTCTCCCCCTATGCTTGCATCAGAAGTCTTTCAATCTGGTCGAGACCCTATTACTGTACCATGGTGTTGGTAAGAGGTCTTAAGGTGTTGGGAGGAGACCATCATAAGGACAACGTATTTGGGGGTTCGGTGGAATCTACTGCGCAGCACCGCAAGAGCAGAGTAAGCGAACCAACCCCTTAAAGCACTAGGGGCCAAATTTTCAAATCATAAATTAAACGATAGGCCTGTAAACCTACCTGGACCCTGGACCGCCGATCAAGGCCCCAGGCACCAGCGAGCTGTCGCCGCCGTGATTGCCCCAGGTTACCACGGTGCCGTCGTCCCGGCGAGCGGCAAACGCAGAACTGTCGGGAAGATGAGGCTTTAGGGCTTGTTTATAGGGTTTAGGGTTGATACGGGCCGCAAACAGATCGGCGCCCAGGCAGGCGTTCAGGTGCGAGGTCTTTTCGTGAGGTGCTAAAACGGCTCCATCCCAAAATGAACTAATACTTCACTTACTCCTTGCCACCCAAGTTCTGAAAGACCTCTGCCGCTGGACAACATAGTTCAGGAGGCTGGCTGCCTGAACAATGAAGCCCGTTGCCCTAAAGCCTAAACCTTAAAATCCCCCAAGGCACTCCGAACCAACCAGCTGCTGCACATTGCTGAGCTGCTCTTCCACCATGCTGCAGTCACCTTCGACTTGGCAAGTTTGGACCCCCGAACTGCTGAATATAGGAAATGGTTTAGGGTTTAGGGTTTCGGGTTTAGGATACATGGGACTCGAATTACCTACAGTTTTATGGGTTTCTACCTACTAATTGAGGGATAATGGCTGCTGAACTGTAGGTAAAGAGAGTTACAGGTATACAATGTATAATATATATTTTGTAATATATACCATGTCTGGAAGGTCATACACCACCCCTTCTCTATGGTACCTAGTTTTTATGGTCAGGATCCGTTATATAGAAAAGTAGGTACTCCAACAAAGGGGTAGGGTATGAGCCTACAAGTATATTATACATACATACATACATACATACATACATACATACATACATACATATATATATATAATTTCAAACCGCCCCCGACACACTAACAGTGAGCACAATCAGGGGCACGATGAATTGCACCAGGAATTACACGAATTTCCAGCTAAGTTTTGAAAATATGTCTCGACATTTATCCTCACATAATGATCATATTCCTGAAATTGGCTCTGCCGGCGCGGTATCCCCGAAGCAACCCATAGCATCCATAGGCCTGCACGTGGGTAGCACGTAGGCTAAAAACTGATGAACAATTTTCTCCATCTCAGCAGAATGCATATTGATCAGGTTTGCCGTGGTTTGCCTCAGATTGGCTCTACTCGGTGCGGTATCTCTGGCCTGCTGCCGCCATTCCAACACGACCAATTGAAAATCCAGCCCTTGAGCAGCTTGGACACATTGCTGGGCCGTCAGTACAGCTCTTTGTTGAGGGGCGTTTCTGTGCTGCTTTGTTGAAGCTCCCTGCTGACGGGGCAGACGCTGTCCAGATCTGGCAACTCTTGAGTACGCTTCAATTCTCACCACTGCCTTACCTGAACTCCAATTTGAACACATTTTCCTTGTGCTTTTCATTGAGCTCTGTTCTTGGAAATCGGAGCAAACCTTGTGCTACTTCTGGTGCAAAATTTTGTGATCCTTTTAGCGCTGCCTCCGGTGCAAAATGCTGTGCTCCTTTTTGTGCTACTTCTGGTGCAAAATGGTGTGCTCTTTTTTGTGCTACTTCTGGTGCAAAACTTGGTGCACTCACAATCAGACCTCGGCTAAAACTTTTGAAGTCAGACAGTTCCTCTGTCTAGAATTCTACCTCGGCCGGCCTTGGCTCTGTTGGGGTGGTTCGGGTGGTGGGTGAGGTGGGTTGGGGGTTGGTTCGGGTGTTCGGGAGGTGTGGGGGTTGGGGTGGATGGGGTCTGGACGCAGACAGTCAAAGTGTAGACGGTCTCGGGAGGGCTCCGTTTGGAAAGGTCAAACATCACCATTAATCTGGTGCTATTTAAATTTATTGGCGGCTGTTTATATAAAACCTGTATTTGACTGTTAGTATGCCGGGTGCGGTTTGAACACATTACTTATGAATTGATAATGTATAGTATACAATATGCAGTTCTTGACCGTTGAGCAAACATGCTCAAAGCAAATGGCCTCCATAGAAGCTGTCGCCCCAAGCCACAACCTAGGCTTGGCGAGGTTTCAGGGTCCAGGGAATTTAATTGAAGGCTGTAATTATATGGATCCAACCGGGTTCGACAAGGCTGGCCTGGTGCAAGAAAGGAACTTTCGGGGCTTGGATCCTTCCCGCGGGCACTCTTAGCTCAGAACGCCTCTCACATTGCAAAGACCTTGAAAACCTAGGAGTCTCATACTGAACGGAGATTTGACAAGATCAGTTTTCGGTTTCAGGGAAACGAACGGATGTAGGCAACACCCTACAGCCCTACTCAAACAGTCTGCTGCGGCTGGAGACAGACCTCAAAGCCCAGATTAACGCTAGGCTGCCAATCCCTCAAAGCGCCATCAAGCCTCCCTGAAGTCTAGGAACCTACCCAAACAACATCAGCCCCTGCGGCCGACATCACAACATCCCCTGAAACGCCTAAACAAACCTAATCTAGCGGCCTGCAGGGTTTTGGGGCTCCTTTATCATATGTCATATAGTATATCTGCATATATGTAAGGAACCTTACGGTTTCCAAATTGGTAAGTATTTAAGCTTCCATATTACCCGCACTTCCGCCGCGTGGCAGATCCATCCTGCCGGATGGCCCCGAAGGCGCGGCTGGCAGCACAGATCTGGTGCACGCCCGTCAGCCGCTCTTGAACCTGACATGAAATCAGGGTTTGGGGGCTAGGATTTAGGGTTTAGGATTCAGTGATTAGGGTTTGCCCTTACCTCAAAGGACTCATATTTTAAGGCTGTTGGGCCCAAAGACCTTATTTATATAAGGCTTTTGAACCTATTTTGATGTGTAGGGTTTGGGGTCTAGGACTTAGGGTTTTGGATCTGCGATTTAGGGCTTGGGCTTGGGGTCTAGTTTAGAATTTAGGGTTTAGGGCTTAGGGTCTAGAATTAGGGTTTAGGGTTTAGGGGGAGGCAGGCCTTTTCTGACTGGCACCCGCAAAAGCTCACCGAGTGTCCTAGAACTAGTAGTGTTATTGGAGTTCTATAGGGACATAAAAAATAGATACCAAAGGGCCCAATAATTTCCCTGTAATATAATTTAGGAATGCACCTGATTGTAAGCATGCCTTTGATTAATATACCCCGAAACCCCATTCCAAGTATAATCTTTCTCCTCCGTCGCATGTTCCTTCATCTCAGTGGGGGCAGGAGTAGGGCTTTGGGGCTGATTTTTGGGGTTTGCGGTTGAGGGCCGTTTAACGTGTGTAGGGGTTTGATGTTGCTCAGGGATTTTGTTAACTACAGGGTTACATGAAACATGACTTATTACAGCTGGGACTAGCAGAGGTAAGGTTCCAAAAGTGCCTTGCATAGAGTTGAGTCATTCGGATCACGTCGCCGAAAATTGTGCAACAAAAACCCGAAACCTTGGCGTAGCCCCTTAAAGCTAAGCACTAGACTTTAGGGTACCGCCCCAACCCGGAACCTTTGAAGCCATGATGCCGCACGATTAGACCCCAAACTCCTAAAATGCCACGAGCCCAATCTCGCTGCGACACCCTGCCTGAAAAACTCGGCACTAAACCCGAAAGTTGCCAAGGGGATGTCACAGTTGAACACAAAAACCTCGCGTGAAAACAGATCAAACCTAGAAACCCCCATGGAAACACCTCTTTGACTGCTGCACATTTTTTTCTAGCTTAGGGTTTATAGGGTCCCTCCTAGCCCGAAAGCCTCGCCCGCACCTACAGCGTACGTGCATCCCGGAGAGCTGCAGAAGCATCTCCGCCGAAGTGGGGGGATCCCCAGCACACCACGACCCCGTCCTGCTAGGGTTTAGGGTTTAGGGTTTAGGGATGCTGTCTTTGCTGCAAGCACCGACATTTGCGGGCCCCATGGTACACAAGTGTAAAAGCGAGCAAAACATATCGCTTGCATGCTGAAGGTGAATGTCTGTGTGTAGTGTATAGTGTCAGGAGATGTAATATGACGTAAGGAGCATGATTTAACGTAGAGTAACGACATTCAATGAAAGTATGGTAAGGTAGTGTAATGTGATGTAATGTGAGGTGGTCTAGTGGAATGTAGTAGTGTGATGCAGTGTATGTCTGCATGTCCACATGTATGTCTGTGTGTATGCATGCATGCATGTATCTATGTACATATGCATCGCTGTACCCCGACCTCGAACCCTCCGGCCTAAATATGAGACCCGAAACTCCCCAAATTCAAAACCCCCTTCCTACTTTTGGGATGCAATCAGTAAACATCGGGATCTCAATAAACTTAAGGCCCTTGCAGCAAGGGGCTAAGCCTGCAATCCCAGCACGGACATGCCAGGAATCCTCCCGAAGGGCGGCGAAGGCGAGCCAGGTTGCGTGGAGTTCTTTGACATTCTTCAGCGTGGATTGCACCGCCTGGTTTAGGATTTAGGGTTTAGCGTTTAGGGCGTAGGGCATGAACTCCCTAGGCGGAAATAGAAAAGATTTTAGGGTTTAGGGTTTGAGGTTACCAACAGGGTTACGGCTGGATAGGGCTTTCTCATGCTCACGGGTAGCTCCAAAAGCGTCTACGGTAGTCCTTTGGATCCAAGTATCACCGACATTTTGGATTAAGGTTTAAGAGGTTAGGATGTATGAACAATGTATAGGACCAATGCGGTGTTGAAAAGCTTGTTTCTTGAACCTTTCCTTAACCAGGAAAACTGCGCCGCCTGGCGTAAGCGCACAACTACTCATACTACCGAAGCCCTCGCAATCCCTGAAAACCTTACAAGCATAATGAACGAAGACGACAAGGCACAAATACATTCATATACCAATGTGCTAGTATACTACTATACTACTTCCTTAGAGCAATGAGCCTTATCCTAAACCCAAAACCCTAAACCCTAAATATAGAGCCTGAAGCTCACTTTGGTGGGGATGGCCTCGCTGTCTCCTCCGGCGGTGGTGTCACCCCAGGTTTGCACGCTGCCATCCCCTTGAGAAGCTTCGGTCAAGGGAGTCCCGTTTAAGGTTTATAGGGTTTGAGTCCCGTTTAGGGTTTAGGGTTTGAGTCCCGTTTAGGGTTTAGGTTTAGGGTTTGGCCCTAAAAGGGTAGGCTTTATAGGGCCCAGGTAAAGCATAAAACACAATGAAGCATGCCGGCAATCTGAACCGCTGCTCGCAAAATCAAACACGCAAGATCAAAAACGCGGGCTGACCTCGGCCCCGGGAAATCCGGTAATGGTAAAGTCTCAGAATTTCATGGCAGCTCCCTAAACCCTAAACCACTAAACCATAAACACTAAACCATAAACCCTAAAAAAACCTAAACCCTAATAAGTACTAAATCCTAACCCCTAACCCGTACACAGTCGGTGGAAGGCTCGCGGGTGCCAAGGAATCCCACGAGTGGAGGCTGGGGAATGAGTCTACCCTGGACCCTACTAGTATTACTACTCTTACTTACCATTACTACTACTTATGTACGCTTATTACTACTATTGCTGCTACTACTACTACCACCACCACCACCACTGCCACTCCTGTTACTATATTGCTATTCATGTTATTACTGTTAAACCTCGAAGCAGTTTAAAGTTTTCAGTTTAGGCTTGCGGGGTTGACACCTGCGATTGTCGAAGCCCTCACCTGGAGGGCTTAGGGCTTAGGGCCTAGGGTTTAGGGCTTCGGGTTAGAGTCTTTGTGCACGGAGCGCTTGGGAACCCACACAGCGTGAAGCACTACAGTAGCCAGAATCGTCGGAAGACCCAGACATGAACCCAAACCAGCACCTAGACGTAGACTCTACCCAGAGGCTCCTTAGTAGTTCCTTTTTGGGATTACCTTACAGGATCCTAAATATAAACCACAAAAGGGACCTACTTAGGAGCCTATGGGTACATGCTACAGACCCAAGCCGCCTACCCTGTACACTCCAAGATCCAAGCGTTATGGCCCCCAAAATCCCCCAAACCATTGATACAATCTTGGGACGCCCCTAAACGGTAATCAAGGAAGTCGTGTTAGATCTTAGACCCTATAGACCGAGACCCCTAACCTTAAGTTAAGGTTTATAGGGTTCCGGGATTAGGGAGTAGGGCGGCGGCGGCTTGGGCTTGAGGGTTTCGGGAACAGATGGAATCCTAGAGCTCCTTCTCTTTAAGTCTCGGGTTAGGGTTTAGGGTTTAGGGTTTAGGGCTTAGGGCTTAGGGCTTAGGGCTTAGGGCTTAGGGTTTAGGGTTTAGGGTTTAGCGTTGTGCGGGATGCCTTTCAAAGCTGCGAAGGCTGCGTTGTTGGCCACCAGCTTCCGGACGTCGCAGAGGTGGCCAGGGACCAAGTATCTACCTGTGGATGTAGCGTTTATTATGGGAATTTAGGGTTCAGTGTTACGGGAAAAAGATAAGAGGCTTTGTGCTTAGAGGTTGACATGACCGTGGATCTTAGGGCCTTCGGGGTTAAGGCTACTCACAGAAAGAACGGTTCAGTAGCTGGCAATTTGCACGGCGTCCGGAATTGAAAGTAAAGAGTAAGGTGTGCACTTATCCGCCCGTATAGGATAGGAAAGCTTGAAGTTAAGCAACAGTTTCCGAATTGGGCTTGATCAGGGGGCTGACGACAGAAGAGTCTTCGAACAACAAACAAGCCATATCCTGGCCTGTGAAAAGCTCTAAACCCTAAGCCTCTGAGCGCTCGCACCCCTTATGGCAGCTCTGGAGGTTCCTATACGGTTTAGGGTTTTGGGGTTTAGGGGTTTTAGGGTTTAGGGTTGGGGGTTTAGGGGGGTTTAGGGTTTAGGGTTGGGGGTTTAGGGGGGGGGGGGTTAGGGTTCAGGGTTTCGGGGTTCAGGGGTTGAGGGTTTAGTCGGATAAGGGATCGTTTGCGTCTTGGGGCTTAGGGTGCTTTGAAGTTGTGGGTTAAATCAGAGAAAGCCTAAAAGACTGGACAGTATGACTCCTAAAAGCCACACCCCCCCTCCAACCTCGAGACAACGATCCTAACGTCTGAAACATCCTCAAACCCTAAACTCCTAAGCCGCAGCACCCTGAAAACCCTCAGCCCTAAACCCTAAAACCCTAAATCATAAAAACCGAAACCCCCTAAACCCTAAACCCTGAAACCCTGCATCTTAAAAGCCCTAACCCCCTAAAGCCTAAAACCCTAAACCCTGAAACCCTAAACCCTAAACCCTAAAATATTAAACCCTAAAATCCTAGGTCGAAGCACCCAGTTGAACACACCGAAGCCCTCTGACCTCTGGTCGCCGATAGCCTCTAAGCACCACCAAAACCCACCAAAAAAAAAAAATCCACGGGCTCGCGGTCTAGGGTTTCAGGGTTTAGGGTTTAAGGTTTAGGGGTTTAGGGGTTTTACGGTTTGGGGGTTCAGGGTCTTAGGGTTTAATAAGTTTAAGGTTTAGGGGTTTAGGGCTTAGGGGCTTCGGGTTTGAACCTCAACGCAGAAGCCCAAACCAGCAGTTCAGCTCAGGTACTGGAGGGATCTTCGCCCCCTGGTCTGTATGGAGCTTTAAGGGTTCACGGTTTACGGGTTTAGGGGTTTGGGGTTGAGGGTTGAATTTAAGGGTTTAGGGTTTAAAGGTTTAGGGTTTAGGGGTTTAGGATTTAATTTAAGGGTTAAGGGTTTAGGGTTTCAGGGTTAGGACTTTGCCTGGTCTGGCAGGGTTCCAGGCTTTCTCCTTTGCAGGGTAGTGTTCCTTTGATTTCATAGAACTGTAGCCACTAGTCCTAAACCCTAAACCCCTAAACCCTCAAACCCTCTGAACCCCAAACCCCTAAACCCCGAAACCCCTAAACCCCGAAACCCCTAAACCGCTAAACCCCTAAACCCCAAACCCTAAAACCCCTAAACTTTACCCTAAACCCGTAAACACCTAAACCCCAAACCCTAAAACCCCTAAACACCAAACCCTAAAACCCCTAAACCCCAAACCCCAAAACCCCTAAACCCCTCAACCCCAAACCCTAAAGCTCGTAAACCCCAAACCCTAAACCCTTAAACCCCAAACCTTTTAGCACAGCTTCATGCCTTAGCTTTCTGAAGTCGCAGCCCCATCTTTCTATCGTTTCCGGTCTGTAGGCGGAGGGTTTAGGGTTTATGCCTTAAGGCCTTTGGGTTTATGGCTTAGGGCCTTGGGGTTTAGGGTTTATGGCTTAGGGCCTTTCGGTTTAGGGTCTATGGCTTAGGGCCTTTGGGTTTAGGATTTAGGGTTTAGGGCTTAGGGTTTATGGCTTTGGGCCTTTGGGTTAAAGGATTCGGGTTTGCAGCTTAGGGCCTTAGGGTTTAGGGTTTCCGGTGTAGGGTTTAGAGTTTAGGGTTTAGGGCATCATCACTGGATCATCGCCAGCATCAAAACTGATTGCTGTTACTTTGCCCCCTTGTGAATAGAACTGAAGCCTCCAAACGTCAGGCTAGGGTCTAGGGTCTAGGGCTTAACTAGGGTTTAAACTTCAGTGCCGCTAAAGGCGATCGATGCCGAAACTAGCGGCCCAGGTACTTGTGAAGACTCGCCCGTCGCTCATTGAGAGAGCATGGCCGCAGCTGTTTGAAACCAGTTGGGGTTGGCGCGCCAAACCAACAACCTGAAGGAAGCAACGAGGGTTGATAATATTAATATAGGAACCTGATTAAGAAACCCTGGGCCTTTATTCGGGTTCTTAGTATGAGCCCCAAAAAAATTGGGGTTCTAGGGCCAGGGTTTCTTAATCAGGTTCCTACATTATCACTGGCCCTTAGCCTACGTCTTGCTGGCTAGTTGTTGTGCCGGTGTGCCGCCATGCGCTTTCATGAATATCATTACTTCCCTTGTTCTGGTGTAGTAGGCTTGTGGAGATAGCAAGATTTGCATGAATGTTGAGGAGACAATTGCCAACTTTACCTGGCTCTTCGGGTCCTCGTGAATTTAGATCCCCTAAACCTATAAATCTTCAGGCGAGCTGCCGTCTCCATGTGCTTCACTCCCACATCGCGGAGCGCAGAGGCATCCGCCAGAATTTCGCCAGATTCTCGGACGATTTGACTCAAACCTCTCCGGGCAGATGTTTCCTATACTATGCTGGGGGTTCCTTATTATAGCTGTAGTATAATGGGCCCCAAGCCAAAATGTAATTGTTACGGCCCCTATATTGGGTGTAGGGTTCGGCATGCCCCTAAACCAAACCCGAAATCGCAAGGTGCTGTGTATCAAAGGGACTCAGCACCGTGGAAGCCACCTGAAATCGCAAAATCCTGAACCTCCAACAGGAGCCAGAATCGTAAAGCCCTAAACCCTAAACCTCCAAACCCTAAACGTTTTGTCAGAGTACGTACAGTATCATCCTTCGAAGGGGGTGGGCTGCAATGGTTTATGTTCAGCTGGCTTCTGTCGCTGATCCGACCCTATCCTACAGCCTTGCAGGCCCCAAAATCTAAGAATCAAAGTGATGCTCGGGTCCTTGGCAAAACCAAACCCACTCCTTAAAGGGACTTCACAGCGCATGTTCGGCTCTTACTTAAAAATGCCTACTACCCCTTAACAAACGAGCCGACACCAGATTTTTGGACGGCTTGAGCCTCCCCCCCAAACTGAGGAACATACCTCGGAATTATGGACGGCTTAATATGATGATCCAAGGCATGCTCCTCAATCAAGGATTTAGGGTTTGGGGGGTGTTCGAGCCGAGCCGACCCCAAAACCGAAATCCCATCCATGAAGAGCAAAGATGCTCACAAGAACCCTGAAACGGCTCAAAACCCCTAAACCCTGAACCTAGCAAGCCTCAACCTGCAAAGCCCAAATCCACAAGCCCATTAACTCAGAAACCCCTTCTTTAGAACCCCAATACAACCATCATAAGACTCATCATAAGTCTTAACCCACAAACCATCAAAAACCTTCTAGAGCCCTTCTAGAACCCTCATAGAAACCTTGTAGAGCCCGAACTATAGGGGCCTTAATATTTACCTACACTATTT